TCTCATGCTTGTTTCTCTCTCTCTTTGTCTCTGTCTCTGTTTCTCTCTCTCCCTTCCCCTCTTCCCCCTGCCCCGCCTCCCCCCTGCCCCCTGCCCACGGGGCCTCCTCACTTGACCCTGGCCGGTGGGCTGGCCGCCCGGGCAGGGAAGGCCGGATGGTGGTGCTATCCTTGGTCTTAGGGCTTTCGGAACAGGATGACTTTGCCAATATCCCTGACCTGCAAAACCCAGGAACCCAGCAGAACCAGAACGCTCAGGGGGACAAGAGGTACGCGCACAGGCGAGGGTCTGCGGCGGCGGCGGAGAGGAGCAGGCGCGGAGAGGCTGCCCGCCTCGACCGGCCCCCACGGCTGGACGAGGTGGCGGTGCCTTCAATGGATGCTGGCGCCGGGAGGACAAGCCCCTCCCCAGTGGGTGCCTTCACACACGTCCACCTTGGTGGCACCCCTTGGGTCTGAGGCCATGTGGCCATCCTGGGACCATTCTGGATCAAGCCTGCTCCCTGGGCATGCTTGCCCTCGCCTGGAGCAAGCCCAGCCTTTTCTGCCCCCATCTCCTTGCTTGGCTCTCTCTGCTGCCCCTCCATCTTCCATCTGCTCCTTCCCCGGCCCGGAAATCCCTGTTTCTCCGGTGGTTGCTGGGCAGGGGGGGATGTCAGGGAGAGGCAACAGCCTATCCTCCCTCATCCCCGCCACCTCAACCTCCCTCTTGCCTGGAGGAGGTCCCCTTGGAGGGTGCTGTACACCCCACTGCAGGGCATGACGGCTGTGCAGGGGCATGGGAGAGATGCCCCTGATGGGGAGGGTCTGAAGCCAGAGAACACTGGGGTACAGGAGGGGCCTGGCAACAGGGCCAGAGAGGTGGCCCCTGAGCCCAGGGGACTGGAGGAGGGCATGGGAGAGCAAGGCTGGCCCCAGTGGGTTCCCTGTTGCTGGTGGTCCCATTGTTGGCCCTCAGGGCCCTGTGAGACCAGGAGTGGCCCTGTGGCCACAGGCTCAGCAGAGGGCTGGGTGGGTAGTTACTTCTGCAGCCTTGCCATCAGGAGTTCAGGAAGTGCTTCCAAATGTCCCTATCCAGGGAGGGGCTGGAGCTCTGTTCTTGGGGAGGGGGGCAGGCTCGAGGTCCTAGGGCTTGGATGCCATCGTAGAGACAGGATACCCAGCCCAGGAGGGTCTGTGGTTGGGTGACCCCACACTTGTTAGCCCCCAGTGATGGCAGGAGGTCTCATCACTCCGGTCAGACCTTCTAGGAGACCCATAGGTGAGCTGGGGCCAGGCAGCCAGGAAGCCTGCCTCCTAGCTCTGGCTCTCTGACCTTGGGCCAGTCTCAGCTCCTCCTGGGCCTCTGCTTTCTCATCTGACAAATGAAGTGTTCCACAGGGTGACCCCTGTGGAGCGCCCCCCTCCTCCCCAGCTCTGACATGGCTAGACATCTAATGAGGAAGACAGGCCCCGAGGCTGGGCACTTGTCAGCTCTGTGAGCTGAGCAGGGGCTGTGTTTGCATGGGTGACCCTGACATTGGTGAATAGGCCCGCTGGGTGCTGTGGGCTAGGGAAGGGCAGACGGCTGCCTCCTTGGTCCCTCCAGTAGCCTCCCATGCCGAGTCCACAGTTGCATGTCTATGGTGGGAAGACTGGAGCCCCCCGGTGGGGCATGGGAGAGTGGCCAGTTCTTCCCTGTGGTGGCACAGAGGATATTTTCCAGTCCTGAGCCCATGTCCTGACATGTGGGAGGGCAGGGGCCTGCCACCCAAGCCCATCTGGGCACTGCAGGAGCCATGGCTTCCTGGGACACAAGGAGAGAGTGCAGAAGAGGCCTGGGACCTCTGAGGGCCCCTCGTGGGGAAAGGTGTGAAGCGTGAGGAAGCAGGTGCAGGCTGGAAACAAGATTTCACGTCCCCCATGTGTTAATTAACTGGCTCCATTTCCACCCACAACCTATTTTTACCTCCTTGCCACTTAGGTCTCGCTCCATATCTTAACACACCCATCCCTTCTGATCATGACATCAGCTTGTCCCCATCCTTCCTTCCTTCCTGGGAAAGGTGGGTGTGGAGGTGGAGGCCTTGGGCCTGCCCCACCCGGCCTGGCTTTCCAAATGGACACATGCCATTCCCACCTGGTCATGCCCACCTCTCAAGCATCCTGGAAACTCATCCTTCAGGCCCCACATGCTTTCCCGAAGGCAGACCCCTGCAGGAGTGGCCAGAGTGGAGTATTTCCTCCCCACCGTCCCTCCCAGCACATGCTCCTATCCCGATGTAGGGCGTTGGCTCCATCCCTGAGGGCCCCAGGACTCTAGAGCTGGGGGTGATGGACTAGGTCAGCTCTTCCTCCTCTTTCCCTTCCCCCACTCGGCCCAGGGCCTGCCTCTGTCCCCGCCCCACCCCAGGCCCACCCTTCACCTGAGCTGGCCTCCAGGCCAGGTATCTTTGGAGTGAGGAGGTGGGAGGGCTTTAGCTATTTTGGGACCTTCAGTCCCTGTGTGATCTGTTAGCAGCCAGCTCAGGAAGGTCTCCTGGGAGACAGGAGGGCTGATGAGGAGGAGCAGACACTTCAGGTCCCAAGGAAAAGGTTTGGGGTGTCAGCAAGTTAGTAGGGAGATGGAGGATCGCCAGCCTTCCTGGAGGCCTTAAAGCCCCCCATCCAGGACCCACCACCCCTGGGCCTGACCACGGTGGGCCCTACAGACTCCATATCAGATTTCAGGTCATTCATGGGCCCGGGAGGGGGGCTCTGGCCCCATGCCCAGCTGTGCCTATTCTGCGCTCACCCATCCTGCCGTGCACCCATCCCAACCTCATCCTCTCAGCCATCCCTTCGCCATTGCTCCTTGGGATCCAAATGGTTTCCACCAGGGCCCCACCCCCACCCCGAGTAGAGGGGTGAGGTGGGGACCAGGCCACCCCATTGCTGTCCTTGCCCTGAAGCCGCCATGTTTCTCTTGCCCCATGTGTGTTCCCTGCCTCCTCTCTGCCTCTCCTTTCGGCGCCCTGCTCCTCCTCGCCCCCTTGTCCTCCGGCAGCCTTCTTCACACGTCTCCCCTACTAACCTTTCTTGGCCCCTCTCTCTCCTTCCTTCCATCTGCTCCTCACAGGGATGTCCCTGGGCCAGTGACGGGCCCCTCGGCCTCTCCCTCCACCTCTCTGTGCCTCTCGTCTCTCTGTCCCCCTCTCTGTCCTGTGACCTCTGACAGCTTCCGTGGCGCTGACCATCTTTCCCAGGCTGCTTTGCAGCTGTGCTGATGCTGTGGTGTGGCCAGAATAACTCCGACTTTCTCATACCTTCAACAGTCAATCTCAACTCCTCTCCTGCTCTATTTTTAACCTGACTTTACCTCTCCAGCTATTTCAGTCTCCTCTTCCTCCCTGTGCCTGTCTGCGTGAGCACGTGTCTGTGTGTGCGTGTATATGTGTGTGTGCCCATTTGTGCACTACTATGGCCTCGTGTCCAAGAGGGAATGCCTGGCATGTCCCTGGGTGGGGTGGGGCGTCTCTGTGTTGTCAAAGCCGGACCAGGTCTCCATGGCAGGTGTATCGTGTGTCTGATGCTCAGGGTATCAGCCTGCTTTTTTCTGTTTCAGTCTGTCCCAATTCACGTGCAGACCTTGGCATGCCTGGGTTTCCCCAACTGTGTTTGCTCCCAGGATCTAAAGGTGCCACCACTGTGCACATCATCACAGCTCTTCTGGTTGGCCCTGTTGCTTGTGACCTTCTCACCCTGGTCCCCTGGGAGTCTCATGCTTGTGTACACCTGTGTACGTGCTCTGTGTGTGTGCTGTGCGCACCCACGCCTGAGAGCGCGTACCCTCTGCTGCTGGATCCTGGCGTCTCCCCTCCAGGCCCTGGCATCTCTTTGTGCATGTCTGTTGGTCTGCCTGTCGTGGCCGGCTGTGGGCTGGCAGTTGGTCTGGCCCAGAGGCTGTGGCTCCTGTCCGGTCTGTGTGTGTCTCTGAGCCTGTGGCTGTCCCACAGCTGTTCTGTTCTAGCCTGTCCTAGCCTCATGCTACCAGTCTCCTCATCTTCTCCTGCCTGCCTCCACCCCGCCTCATGGGACGTTCCAGCCTGATCCTGGGCAGGCCTTTGGGCCCTCCTTCCAGAGTGTAGGCTCTGTTCACCCAGACCCTGGGCCAGAGAGAGTGGCTTCCTGGGAATGGCATGGAGTCAGGGTACAGACAGGGCTTGGTGTGGGACCATCAGACCCATGGTGCCTGGTGTGACCTGTCTTCCTCTGTCCCTAAAAGAGACTTTATCAAGGGTGGGGACTGGAAGCAAGGGATGTAGATGCACCCCGTCCACTATGTGGCAGTTTAAGTTTCAATTAACTTCAATAAAGTAAAAGGTCAGCTCCCAGTTAGGCTAGCCACATTACAAGAGCTCAGTGGCATGTGAGGCTAGTGGTGACGGTGTTAGGCAGTGCAGCCACAGAACGCTTCTGTTATCAGGGAAGTTTACTGAACAGAGTTGTGTAGACAGTGACCCTGACCTCGCCTGGTCAGTCCCGTGTCCGCCTGCTAGGAGGGGCACCCAGGCTCTCGATGAGCCTGAACAAACACAGGTGGAGGCCTCCGGGAGACAGACGCGAGGTGCGTTCACAGAGGCTAATAACTCAGAAAGAGGTCCTGGACGCGCCACCAAGGAGCCTCCCCACGGGCCTCTCCTGCCGGGCTGGGGAGTGGGCAGGGGAAGCAGACCTGGGGGCCATGCTTAGAGACCGTTGTGCCAAGACAGTCGTAGGAGGGCAGGGATGTTTCTGGGCAGTAAGAGGAGGGGGAGCACCCCCAGGGGGCAGTTAAGCCAAGGTCATCCTGGGGCAGAGGTGAGGGGATCCGAGCCACAAGGAGGACAGGCACTACCACTCGTCTCCAGGTGGACAAGCACGCCACCCTGCCTGCCCATGGGGTGGCAGGTCCTCAGAGGTGGGCCTGCCACACCCAGGCACCTGGTGCCCGGCCCACACCCACCTGCCGGCCCATGCTTACCTGGACTCCCCCACCCCTAGGTTGCCCACAGGCGGGAAGGCAGTGAACACAGCCCCAGTGCCGGGCCAGACGCCTCACGATGAGTCTGACCGCCGCACCGAGCCGCGCTCCTCCGTCTCAGACCTCGTCAACTCCCTCACCAGCGAGATGCTCATGGTGAGAAGGCGGAAGGCCTGGGCCCCAGCGAAGGAGCTGGGGTGGGGGGTCGGGTGGCATGTGTGAGAAGGGTTAGCAGGGGCAGCCTGGAGAGCCAGGCCCCAAGATGGAGCTATTCTGCACTCGGGACCTGGGCTCCTGTCCCAGTTCTTTGACTGAAATTTCTGGGCCAGTTCCTTCATTTGTCAAGTGAAGAGTAAGAACGTCTCTCCTTCTTCAGCCCCTTTCTGGGTTTTGAACCTGTTACTCGTTGCCTTCGAGTCAACCCTGTAGCACAGAGTAGAACGGCTCCACGAGGTTTCCCAGGCTGCAGACGCCAAGTCTTTTCTCCTGTGGAGCGGTGGATGGGTTCAGAGCACTGACTTTTCAGTTAGCAGTCAAGTGCTTAAGCGCTTAATCCAGGGCTCCTCTGGACTGTGAAAGAATCTATAAAATATCTACTCGGACTTTTATGATCCTGGAGGGAAAGGCTGCTGGGCGGAAGGTGTCCCCTCCCTTGGAGTAGTGTCCCCTTGAGTGGAAGTTTGGGGCAGAGCCGCCAGCAGAGCAGGTTTCGGGGACCCAGACTAGGGATCTCCAAGAACCACTGTTGCTGAGGGACAGCTGAAGCCCAGAGAGAACAGAGCGGAGTCCACTAGTCCCAATTTCCTGTGAGGACAGCTGTGCTGGGCTTCTCCCATCCATACCCACACCCCACCTGGTGCTCCCTGACCCTTGGGATCCTAGTCCTGGGCCATGTTCACCAATGTGGGAAGGTTGTGGCTTCACGTGGCACCTCCTAGTGGTGGGGTGGAGTCACAATCATTTGTCCTGTGATTTCTGAAGAGCCCTAGGGACCTGGACTTCAGGCAGGGACCAAGGCCCCCCCTCTAGGGGGCGCTGCAATTGGGCAGCCAGAGATTTGCAGACAGGAGTCAGGAAAGGTCTGGCAACTTAGAAATCCCAGAATGCATGAGGCTGGGACCCAGTGCCTGCTGTGCTCAACTGGACTTGACCTGGGGCAAGTCACTTTCCCTCCCTGGACCTTGGTTCCCCTAACCCCCACTGGTCTGATACCACAATGTGCACCTTCTCTGAGACTCCAGAGCAGCCAGACCCCATATGAGCTTCCAGCCAGCTGTAACCATCCATCCACATAGCCCTCTTCCGGCTCCATGAAGCTCAGATTTTAATATGCACCAGATCGTCCGGGGAGCTTGTTAAAATGCAGATTCCGAGTCAGCAGCCTTCGGTGGAGGGCCCCAGAGTCTGCATCGCTTTTGGATCCAGATGACAACATCAGATTGTCCCTGCCCCTGATCTGATCTCCTTTGGGCCTGGCCACCTCTCCCTCTTCACACCCCCAGGCTCCTGAGTGCCTGGCCCTGCACCACCTCCTTCCTGTCTCCCCCTACCCATACGCATCAGCCTCGGCCATCCCCTCCTCCGGATAGAAGGACGCACTACTGCCCACCTGGCTGCTCTGCACAGCCTCCTAATTGGTTGCAACTTCCTGGTAGCCAGGTTCCCAGAAGGGATGGCCCTTTCCCAGCCAGCTTGCCTGCCCTGTGTGGGCCTCAGGGAGGGGCCGACAGCTGCCACCCAAAGAAGAAAGAAGGAAGTGGAGGCAGTACCTATATCCCTCTCAGTGCTTTAGGAAGGAGGTGGGAAGGCAGAGTCTCACTGCCCAGCCTGAGGCCAGAGGCAGGGCACTGTTGTTGATAGTGATGATAAAAATGAGTAGGGCAGGAGTAGACCTACTGTGACCTCACCTGGCCCCTGGGCCCTGAGGCCTCCAGCTGGCAGGAGCAAGGGTCAGCAGTTGAGTAGGGCACCCACAGCTGGCCAGAGGAAGGGGCTGAAGGGTGGGTGTGTCAGAGCAGAGGCTTCTGTCCTGGTCCAGGGGCCGCTGGGATGCTCTTTGATGCTGGGGCAGCATCTCTTCTGGGGCTGCGGTGGAGGTGGCCAGCCCTGTTGCCATGGAGACAGTACCACAAGCTGCCCCAGCTGGTTAATTAGGACTCAGGGCTGTGGCCTTGCTAGGGAATGCATGCAGAGGATATAAAGCCACTCCCCCCTGCCAAGATGAAGTCCACCTGGTCCCAGAATGGTCTGTGAAGGAGCCAAGGGGCCAGGGGGACCCTCTGATGGGTCCCCGCTCTCCAGACACTGCACCCCAAATGAACAGGGAGGAGCCAGGGGTCTTTGCCGGCATGGCTCTTACACAGGCCATGCTCCAGGGTCACAGAGCCAGCAGGGAGGGACCAGGCTGTGGAGAGGATGGGAACCTGTTAACCCTCCAAGAACCCTGCAGGCAGGTCTATGGTCCTGTCAGTAGATGCCAAAACCAGATTCCAAGGGAGTAAGTCTGGTGCAACCTGGTAGCAGCACAGGGGGCAGTGGACTCCAGAGAAGGCCAGCTCAGTGGGCCTTGGAGGGGCTTTCAGAGATGCCAGATCCAGCCGAGCAGTGCGGCTGAAGAAGAGCAGGGGTGCAGCTCAGCCCCTGCCTCCAGCAGGTGTGAGCAGTGCAGGGGTGCAGCTCAGCCCCTGCCTCCAGCAGGTGTGAGAGCCAGGGCAGGTTGACGGTGCTCTCCACCTGGATTCATGTTCCAGCTCAGCCAGTTAGTCACAGGTGGCTTAGGGCAAGTCACCTAACCTCTCTGCACCCCGAACCAAAATTGGAATCCTGTCATGCCTACCTCACCAACTTGAGGTACAGAGTAAAGGCAGGAATGCCGGTAAAGCCCATGGCACAGGGCAGAGCTTGGTACCCATTGCCATGGAGTCGATTGAGACTCATAGCGACACTGTAAGACAGAGTATAACTACCCCATAGGGTTTCTAAGGCTGTAATCTTCATGGAAGGTGCTTGCCACATCTTTTGATGGAGTGCCTGGTGGGTTCAAACTGCCAGCCTTTCTGTTAGCAGCCAACTGCTTAACCACTGCACCCCTGGGCTCCTGTGACATGGGTTAGTTACCATGGTGAGTGTGATTTGACTGCTTCTCACCTGGGGCAGGTGACTCCAGGCTAGCTTGGGGGGAAAACTCTCCATTGCCCTGGGCTGTGGGACTGCTTTGGTGGGTCCAAACTGGCTGTGCAATCTTGGACAGGTGACTTAACCTCTCTGAGCCAGTCTCCTCAGTTAGAGGGTGATGATAACCGCCTCGCCCGGCTGTTGTCAGGAGTCAGTAAGAAGGTGACGTAAAGTCTTCATCCACGGTAGGTGTGCACTATACATTATTATGTCCTCATTATCACTTAGGATGTCAGAGCCGGGGGTGGCTTTCCAGGATGGAGGAGGGGGCACAGAGCCGGCTTCCGCAGGGTGGAGTGAGGAGACAAGACAGGTGCCAGGAGAGCTTTCATCTTCCTGTGGCACCTGGGTCCCACCTCTGGCTCTCATCCAACCCTCTGAGAAGCTGATAGGTGCAGGGATGCCTGGGCCAAGTGAACCACCTGACTGGGTCTGGGGTGGGGCCCAGCAGAGGGGGGTGAGGGTTGGTTTGAAAAGTTCTCCCATGTGTCGTCCCCCCATCCCCCGCCACCATGAGCAGCCACAGTTGAGGACCTTTGGCCAAAAGACCCTCCCCCCCAAAACCCAAACCAGCTGTCATCCGGTCAGTTCTGTCAGTTCTGTCGCATGACGACCTCATGGTGTCAGAGAACTGGGCCTCTTAGGGTTTTCAATCACTGACTGAAATGAATGGCATCACCAGACTGTCTTCCAAGGTGGCTTTGGGTGGATTCGAACCTCCCACCTTTTGGTCAGCAGCTGAGTGTGTTCACTGCTCCCACCACCCAGGGACTCCCCTCCCCCCATCACTTCCTGTACTGTCACCGGGCTGGGACTGCTATACCATTTTACCCTCCACGTGACTGCGCATTGCTCAGTCGCAGCCCACATGCCACCCTCAAGGGCAGGGACTGAGTGCAGGTGCAGTCTCCCTGCCTATGTTTTTCAGCCCTGGATGCACAGTAATGACTGCACTCACATGAAAACCAAAGGTCCAAACTCACTGTCATCAAGTCGATTCTGACCCATAGCGACCCCCTTTGGGTCTCCGAGGTGGTAGATCTTTATGGAAGTAGATGGTCCAGTCTTCCTTCCGCAGAGTGGCTGATGGGTTTGAACCGCCAACCTTCTGGTTAGCAGTCAGATGCCTTAAGCACCGTGCCACCAGAGGCCCTCTTTACACAATACAGACCCCATGAGGCGAATCGGACTCTGCAGGTGGGCCCCCGAGATCTGTGTTTTTCGTGTTCCCAGGGATTCTGCCTAATATAAATAGAGGTTGCTCCCCAAACCTCGCCTCTCTCATTTTGTGAGTCACACCACCCTGGGGACCCTGGAGAGTCACTTCAAAGAATCGTGGTAAAGCCCTTGAGGCCTGAACACTCCTCTCATCTGTTTCATAGCCCAGGGTTTTGTGTTGGTGTATTTCACAGTGGGTCCCACATGGCAGGGTGGAAACTAGGGGTGGGGGCTTGGGATTCTCAAAGCAGCACCGGGATAGCTGTCACAGGGGAGGAAAAGGCAGCCTGTGGTGGTGCTTGTGGGAGGGGAGCAGACAGGACTGCAAGGGGAGGCTCGAGAGACTTGCACATGGCCCTCAGGGTCAAGAAATGGGCTGTCTAGTCTGACCCCATCCTTGTGTGACTTTGGCCAAGACACTTGCCCCTGAGTCTAAGCGCCCTCACCTGGATGTGAATTGGGATGGGTGACCACAGGTTCCACGTTGGGACCAGCCAACTGGACTGGCCTCAGGCACAGGGAGGACCCCAGCCATGCTGACATAGGGTGGCAGCCTTGGGGAAGCCCCGTCCTCAACCTCACTGGCCTCTCTCCCCACCCCCAGCTCTCCCCAGGCTCCGAGGAGGATGAGGCCCACGAGGGCTGCAGCCGAGAAAACCTGGGCCGGATCCAGTTCAGCGTCGGCTACAACTTCCAGGAGTCCACGCTCACCGTGAAGATCATGAAGGCCCAGGAGCTGCCAGCCAAGGACTTCAGCGGCACCAGCGACCCCTTTGTCAAGATCTACCTGCTGCCAGACAAGAAGCACAAGCTGGAGACCAAGGTGAAGCGCAAGAACCTGAACCCCCACTGGAACGAGACCTTCCTCTTTGAAGGTGAGGCAGGTGACGCTTCCCACCCAAAGCACCCCCTGCCCTGCCACCCAACCATACACACGTGACCACGTGCACCAACACCAGCCTAGCGTACATGCACGTGTGCAGACATACCAAGCACACTTGCACACGTCCACAGACACGTGGCTTGTCCCAGTTTTCCCTGTGCATTTGGAGTCTGGCTGGGATCCGGTAACAGGGGCCGGGCGGAGCCAGCCTATCAGTCAGAGGCCCAGGAAGATAGCCAGGCCTCGGAGCCTGAGGAGAAGAGGACAGGAAGGGAGGGAGCATCCACAGGATCCAGAGGTGGAACATCACAGAGCAGCCATAGTGTAGTGGCTCAGAGTACAGGCTGTGGCCCAGGCTGGCTGAGTTCAAATCCCAGCTCTGCCACTTACTAACTGTGTGACCAGGCAAGCTTCTGCATCTCTCTGTTTGCTCCTCAGAGATAGCAGAGTCCCCAAGTGATACAGATGGTTGACGTGCTTGGCTGCTAACCAGAAGGTTGGGGTTCAAGTCCATCCAGAGGTGCT